CAACTTTAGCGCGCAATCCGATACGGACTGCGTGTACAAGTTCCGATTTACCAAGCAGCAGATCGTCGAGCTCGTGCGCTTTCTGTGTTTCCCCGACGAAATCATCACGACGCACCGCTACAAAGCCGATCCGTTGGAAGCGATCTGTATCATGCTCAACCGGCTCGCGTTGCCGCATCGGCTTGACACCATGGTCGAGACGATTGGACGCAGCCGCGAGGCCTTGTCCGCGATCAGCAACCACGTAATGATGCACGTGTACGACTGCTTCCATCACTTGCTCGAGTTGGACGAAGCTCGACTTGACGCCGGCTGGATGTAACACTGTTCGGCCGCTATCCATGCTCAAGGGGCTCCCCTTGCAACTTGCATCGGCTTCATTGATGGCGCCGTGCGTGGCATTTGCCGCCCAGGATGGGCAGTACAGAGGGCCGTATACAACGGACACAAGGTATCTACACGATTGTATAACGAGGCGCTAACATTTCGCCTACCGTAGCGAAAGCATGCACTGAAGTATCAAGCTGTGACGGCCCCGATGGCATTATCGTGCACCTTCATGGACCCGAGCCTGGCTCTCGCCATGACGCCTACTTACTAGCACAGAGCAAGCTTGTCGAAAAGCTCCAAAACAAGCTACGTGTAGGCGACACCCGATACGTTATCGACGGAGATCCCGCCAAACAAGAATTGATTGAGTTGGCTTAAATCTTGTTTCCGAGAGAGCGCATTAATTCGATGGTGCTTCGAATGAATTCAAGCTGGACCTCGCGCTCCGATCGCTCCAACTGGAACCGTGCTTCGCGCTCTGCTTTTTCAAGCAGGTACCGTTGCTCATCAAGCTCATGTCGGCGCTGGGCCACTGCGGTTTCCTCCTTCTTCGCAGAAATCTCGTCTTGCTTGAGCTTGTTGGAAGACTCTATGATAGAAGTAAAGTCAACGACAACAGACGCCACGTCCTTGATCGCCCCGCGGCCTTCTTTCTTGACCTTCTTGGACGGCGTTGCCGCGCTGTCGCTTTCTTCGGGGTCATCATCTTCCCAGCGCTTTGCGATCTGACCGTACTGGCAATCGTATGGGCTCACAAACATGACTTCTTTGAGGAGATCCACGTCCGAGGCCACGGTGAAGCGAAACGCCTTTCTCGTCGTCTGTGGAGCCTCCTCGCCAATACTCAGCGCAAGTAAAAAAATGAGTGGCGACCCGGAAAAACGGTTCAGGATTGAGGGGGTCCCATCGTACATTTTTTCGGTGGAATTCATCCGACGGGCGCATGCGACATGTGACAACTTGCTCCATTCATGAAATTCACGTGCACTCTATTAGAGTGATTTTGCAAGCGTGAATTTCATGAATGAGCATTGTACATTTCTGATTGGCTGAAAAGCAGCCTTTGCCACCAATCCACGCCATT